CAATAATTGTTTTCTTCAGTTTGATTTTTAAGTTTTCGATTTTCTATCATTTGGAAAAAAATAATTTGAAGAATTGGATATTGTTGCTAATGTCTACGTTAATTTTGTAGGGCACATTACAAATAAGCTCATTATGGGATACGTACAGTTATTCATGTAAGGGTCCACACAAAAAACTCTTTTACAAAGAAAGTTCACACATTGTTAGATGTGTGTAGAAGATTAAAGTAGCCCCTCATTAACATCAATATAACCCAAATTTCACAAATTATTCAATTTTGACCCAAAACTCAATTTGAGTACCATTTCGCCCGTCGCTGCCGTTGACTGTCGGTTTTCGGCGTTTACTTTTTTTTTTTTTTTTTTTCTCTGCTTGTGCCGCCGCTGGCTGGCGGTCAAGCCGGTCTCTGGCGGCGTTGACATTTTTTATTTTTTATTTTTTTTCTCTAACACCTTTTTGCCACGTTTAAACGGCAACATTGTTGTGGTTGATAATAATATTAACTATATTACTGTTAAACACAATATTATTAATTATGCTACAGTTTAATACAGTAATATTGCTATATTAATCTCTAGCACAATAATATTAACACAACAAAAGTCATTCTATTGTGTAAATAGAATAATATTAATATGTTGACCGTTCAACAAATGTAAACATAATAAAAAGCCAAAACAATTAATATTGATATGGTTGACAGTAATATTACAGTCATCCACAGTAATATTACCGTTGACCATAGTAATATTATTGTGTCTACAGTAATATTACAATAGTAGACAGTAATATTATTACGTTAATTGTACTGTCAACGACAGTGAATTACGTTAATGTACTGTCAGTGACAGTATAATTAGTGTTAGTGACAGTATAATCACGTTCAACGTTTAGCGGTAGGCGTAAAAAATGATTTTTTTTTTTTTGAAAAAGTCAATGCCGGAAACCGCGGCAAAAAAATTATTTGAGAGAAAAAAAGTTAAAAAAAAAAGTGAAAATAGGATTTTTGTGGTCTAAATTGATGAAATTGGGGTTACAATTAAGAAGTGAGTGTAAATGGTTGGGGATAATTTTGTCATATACATTAATATTTCCTTTATTTATAATACATACTAGATTTTTGGCCCGTGCGATGCACGAGATTGGTGTAAAATTAATACAAATTAAAGTTCAATTTAAACGACAAAATTGAGTTTTCAGCTCATTTTGATGTTTGCTATATGTATTGAAGATAATCCCTCATCCATAAACTATTTTTTCCATATTTATTAATTTAACTTTATGTTTTTGATGTAATATGGTTGTATATTTATCTTATTTTAGTTGAGGTAGAACTCGGACGAATCTTCTTCTTTATCACCCATAATATGCCTCTCTAAACTGTAAATCAATGATGCCATTAAAGTTCACGGTTTACCGGGAGCAATTTAATAATATAAGATAAGAACCAACTGTTTTTCTAAATAACTAAATAAATTTCCTATAAAATTATTATTAAGTAAAACGATAATTTTAGTGTGGAAAGATATGTAGACGTGGAGGAGAAAAATGAGGATACGTAATGAATTTATTAACCTTGATTATAAATGAAATAAACCAATAAATTTAATTAATTAAATAAATGGTAATTATATTTATCAAATGACCGGGAAGAATTTCCTATGGCTCACTAGGAACAACTTTAATTTTATTAATAATATACGATAAGAACATAATATTTTCGAAGTTATTAAATAATATTTCAATAAAAATAACATTAAGTAAAATGACAATTTTAGTGGAACAAATACGTAGATTTAGGGCCAAAAAATATGGATACTTAATGGATTTATCAAACGTGATTATATAAAATAAAATAAAAATAGAAATAATTAATTAAATAAATTACAATTAAAATATCAAATGAGCGGGAAAAACTTCATAGGATTCACCAGGAGCGACCTTACTTTTATAAATAAGATTAAATGGATGGACTTATTCGCGAATGAGATATAACTCATGAATCTAAAATAATAAAGATGTTTGATCAGGGACAGAACCCCTATATATAATTCATTCACAGCCTTAAGAGGTTTTGAATTTAGTACATGTTTATTTTGTCTTCCTAATTCTATCTATTATATTCATTAAGCGTCTTCTTTTGTAGAATCGACGTTTACCGTTAAGATTGTAAAGTTACAGAGAATAGTAAGTCGTCTTTTTTGTCCATAATAAACATATGTTTGTATTATATCTTACGGATTATTTGACAAACCCCCCTCATATGCATTGTCCAATTAAGAGAGGTCCAATTTCTTTTTTTTTTTTTCCCTTTTTAAGATAAATCCAAAATATCTTTTAATTAATCATAAATAATTTAATTCACTTTTATACCCTTCACCTAGCCCTATACAATCCAAGTTCTCAATCTTTTCTTTTTTCACAGATTTCTCCTCTCTCTTATTTCAACAGTAGCCGCCGTCCCATCTCTTCTCCACATTATCGATCTCTTCCCCCAAATCGCGGTTCCTTCGCCGAGGGTGAGACCTCCCACTCCACTGCCTCCCCCATCTTCACTACTCTGATGGACCGCCTCCGTCTGCCTCCTCGTCATCCACCACAACAGCACCGCGGCTCCTTCATCCTCTAGGGCAGCGATCTCAATCGTCCCAGTCGGCGGAGTAAGAGGCGGCAATATTTTGCGGTGGGTCGACGTGATGTATGGGTAATACGAAAAAATAGAGAAATTTGATTTTTTCTTGTTCATTTTTTTAATTGTTTTTTCGGAGCCTTTGAACTTTTAATTGTGTAATTTGTTTTCTTCGATAATTGGGAATGTTCGTACGAAACTTAGAATTATGTTCTTTAACTTCTGAGTATAATTATTTTTCTTCAATTCGGACAGAATGCACATTTTTATGTAAATTTTTTTAACCATTTTTTAACAAAGTGATTATTGGATGAATTTGATATTTAAAACCTAATTGGTAAAAAAAAAACTGTGTTCCTCTAAATATTTTTTGACATCAGAAGCAAAACCCCAGAATTCTGCAACCAATACAATGTTTAGAAAAAAAATATAATAAAATGAAAATAAATTTGTTTATGAATACATCGACAACTTTTTGTTGGACTTGTGATTAATTTTGAAAAATTAAAATATAAACCTTATATGTTTGTTATTGTTCTTCGGTTGTATTGTATAGTGGACTTCGTTAATTTTATAGTGGATTTCGATAAATTCCGATGGAGTTGCAAATCAACGTTGATGTTTTTTTTTTACCACTTTTTGTTGTTCTTTTTTATTTGATGGGATTTTTTTTATTCAAGTAGTTTAATAGTGGATTTAGATAATTACATAGTTGATTGTGTTAATTTGTTTTTGGTTGTGGAGTAAGTTAATTTTCTATTGAATTTCGATAACTTTGTAGTGAATTTCGATAATTGGATTTCGATAACATTTGAGTGGATTTTAAGTTTCTTGGAAATGGAGATGTTTTGAATGAATTGAATTGACATGTTTTTGATTTCTTTTTCCTTGCTACAGTTTCTTGACTGATCGAGCAATGGCGCGGGGAGGGATGTTAGATAATGCGACAAGATTAAGGATGTTTTTGTGTAAATGGAGAAAGAAGGGTGCATAGGCGACCAAGAAGGCGGGAGTAGGTTGAAACATGTGGCACCACTGTGAGTTCCACGAGAGCGGGTTTGTCGTTGAACGTGTGTTTTGGGCATTCCTAAATGACACTTAAGTGGTGGCGTCACCATAGTACAACACCCGAAATGACGTCTTGCGATCCTTGTTGGTGGTGGTGGTGATGCACTTTCCTGGACCAAATAGTGGATTTACGTTTCGAATTAGTGGATTTATGAATAGTGGATTTGGGGGCTTTTTTCGTTGTTTTTTGAGTTGTGTTAGTAGTGGATTACGTTCATTCATACTGGATTTCATATGTTTTTAGTGGATTTCGATAAGTTTGTTGTGGATTATGCTAATATTAAAGTGGATTACGTTAATTTTACCATGAATTTTACGGTAATTTTATAGTGGTTTTCGAAAATATATAGTGATTTTCGAAAATATATAGTAGTTTTCGAAAATATATATAGTAATTTTCGATGAGTATATAGTGAATTTTAATTTTTGTAACCCTGGTGAAAAAAAATTAAAAAATAGAAATAAAAAAACATAAAAAAAAGGGTGTTAAAATCATATTTTTTAAACTACCTGTTGGAAAAAAATAAAAAACTAAATAGAAAAATTAAATAAAATAAACGCGTTGTTAAAAAAACTATATTTTTTTTTGAAATAAATCAAAAAAAGAAAAAGAATGAAAAAATAAAAAAAACTGAATGCCGTGAAATTTATGGGGAAATTATTTTGGAGAGAGAGTATAATAAGGGCATTTTAGATAATTTAAGTCAAATGGATTTATATCAAATTTCGAATTAAAAATTGGATTTATCATCATAAAATTTAATTGAAGGAGTCTTGTTATATAGCCCCTAGATTTTATTTTCAAAATAGATACATACAATATAATTGTAAAGGGTAAATTACAAATACCCCGAGGTATGGTTAATTTACAAAAAAAAAAAAACCTTCTTGTTTGGATAATTACATCTACCCCCTCAACTATGTTTTTTTTCTTACACCTCCACCCTTATGGTGTCAAATTCAACATAATCATCCAGATTTCGTGGAATGTGCTCTAGTTTGTACCCGTTTTGAGCAAAAATACAGTTTCTGATGCACCACAATCTGAGATATACAAGCCAAAAAACACATATTATACTTATATTGCTTCAAACTGTAGAGTTCGAATGAGATAAAACTGGTACAAAAGTGATAATATTCCATATAATCTCGAAGATTCCACTAAATTTGTGGAGTTGAGGGGTGGTTGTAATTATCCAAACAAAAGGGGGGTTTTCGTAATTTGACCATACCTCAGGGGATGGTTGTAATTTACCCTAATTGTAAATTAGTGGAATTTTTATATTTTGATCTTTCTATTGTATTAGGAGACCCAATCTAAAAAGGAAAAAGAAAACATAACCTTAATTAATGTTTATATAAGGTAGTAGTTGTGTTAAAATCTTAGTTTTGAAAAGCCAAATTCCTTTTTTACTTTATATTCCTTGTATGCGTAGAATACCTTGTTGCTCTACAAATACAGAAGTCGCCTTTCGCAACTTTTCAAGTCTTCCCCTCCCACCCAAACACACCGTATTCCCCCCTTTTCTCCACAAATACACTCTCTCCGGCGACTTTCCACCGGCGAATTCCACCGGAACTTCAACAGATGGATTCCTTTCTCCTCAATTACGACGCCGCCGAAGTCCGTATCGCCGCCGAGTTTTTGTCCAATTGGCTGCCGTATCTATCCCGGGGCCTTTGCGAATCCTGCACTACAACTCTTTCTAATGGCATCGAATCCCTCCACACAGGTTTGCAATTAAATTCATCTCGTTCTTCATGTTAATCAGCATCTGTGTATGAATCTGCGTGTAGATATAAACCCTGACTACATCTACTTCATTCAAAAATTTTGATTATTTTCTTCTGATTTGATTTTTAGTGCAGCAATCATCCATTAACATGTTCTTACAATTCTGTGTCAATTTTATATAAAGAAGTATAATTCGCCTCACAAAAATTTCAACTTTTTTGAGTAATTAATTCAGATGTGGTTGGTTACTGTTGCGTTATGCGATGATATTTGTGGCTGGACTCTTCGATTCGTATTATCGTACTTTTAGGGCAATTTTTTAGTCATGTGGCTGATTATGGTTTAATAAGATGTTGAATTTTTTTAATTTGGCAGGGAATTTTGCTGTTTCTACACCGAATTTAATAAATCGGAGTCAAACTAAAGAAGACCAAAGTAATTGCAGTCCCCATCCCGCCTCGAGTACGAAAGACAGTGCAGCTAATAATGCTGATGGAGCTCCGACTTTGTTTTTTGGTAATTTGTGCTGTTTCTGAGTTTTGATTCTTTAAGAGTTTTTGTTTGCTATATGGTTGATAATGGTTTAACAAGGTGTCGAAATTTTGAATGTGGCAGGTGAATTTGCAGTTTCGAGTTTGAACTTTATAGATTTGAATCGACGTAAAGAAGATCAAGGTAATTGCAGTTCCCATTCGGGCGAGAATACGAAAGACATTGAAGATAATAGCGACGATGCAGATGTATGTTCGTTGGGTAGTTGGAAGGACGAGGCATACGCTGAAGCATCATCGAGCGATGTAGTTAGCTCTTCGTTTGCAACACCAGTTCCTAAAAAGTCTTGGGCAGATATGGCTTTGGAGGATGAACTTGCTGCAGAAGAAGAAGAGAATGAAGTGAGTAGTGGCAAACTTGTTAATATGAATGATTCTGGAGCATCTATGAATGGAACAAAGTCCAAGGTGGCATTATCGAGGGATCAGAGAGAGTACATTCGATTTTACAACGTTCAGAGGAAGAAGGATTTATATGTCTTGAAAGAGTCGACGGGAAGTTGGTCAATATATTGGAAGGGCTCGAGTTACATAAGGGTGTCTTCAGTGCTGCAGAACAGAAGAGGATTGTTAGCTACGTTGAAAATTTGCAGGAGATGGGAAAGAAGGGACAGTTGAAAGGTAAACTTTGCTTCATTATAATCCAATATTTATGTTACGACGTTATTTGTTTTATCTGACCCCACACAAAAACCATCATAATAAACATAGTTATTTCTAATGATTGTTGATTGCACGACGCGTTTGTTTCTTAAGCTGCTTAGGAGTTTTACATTTATTTTGGGCCGCAGAGTAATTATTAACTTGCCGATTAGGTTTCTTGATGTCCCCGTTTATGAATCTTGGCGTATGAGATTGATTTATTGCGTTTCCCCTTTTTTGAACTTTTTGATAATTTTACTGTCCATGCATCAAATTTACTTGTGTATTTAAGAAATTACGAAATCATTGCTGTTAAATATGCTTACATCTTCAAATTAATTTCAGATCGCACTTACTCAGCACCTGTTAAGTGGATGAGAGGAAAGGGACGTGTAACTCTTCAATTTGGCTGCTGCTACAATTACGCCCTAGTAAGTTCATCTAAAATATTGCATTTATTAAAATTTTATTTTTGGGGTGAACCTGTAATATATTTTCAGGGAAGTTGAGAATCGAACAGCTTACAAATATCAATTTTTTTTTCTGCGTGACAGGATAGACAAGGTAATCCACCTGGCATCCTAAAGAACGGAGCAGTTGATCCTTTGCCTGATCTATTTAAGGTGATGATCAGAAGGCTTGTGAGGTGGAATGTTTTGCCACCGACATGTGTGCCCGACAGCTGTATTGTGAATATATACGAAAAGGATGACTGTATACCGCCACATATTGATAATCACGATTTCGTTAGGCCATTTTGTACAGTTTCTTTTCTTAGTGAGTGCGAAATACTTTTTGGGTCCAAGTTGACATCAGTTAGAGCTGGCGAGTTTACTGGTTCTTTTGCAATCGCCCTACCAGTTGGGTAAGTCCTTTTTGCTGCTTTATTAAACAGTTTCGTGTTTTTTCGGGTTTTTTTTTCTCACTTTGATCTAATTTTCTAATTTTGCAAACAGATCTGTTCTTGTTATAAATGGAAACGGAGCTGATGTGGCTAAGCATTGCGTGCCGGCAGTCCCTTCTAGAAGGTACTACTATCTACAGATAAAACCTCTATAAATTAATATTGTTGGGACTAGCAAAATTCTATTAATTTAGCGGAATATTAAATTATCGAGTTGATAATTGAACTTTTTACTGATTCGTAGATGGTTTTTTGCTTGCAGGATATCAATTACCTTTAGGAAAATGGATGAATCTAAACAGCCAAATGGATATGTAGCTGAACCCGATTTGCAAGGGCTTGAGCCATTTTCAGATGGAGCGGATACGAATAGTTCGACAAAGAATAATAAAAATGCTTCAACGAGACCCATTCATACACCATTGCAGAGACCAGCATTTGAAAGAGAGGATAGAGTAGACAAAGGGAGAGGAATCATTGCAGAAAGACCAGATTCTCGTTATTCAAGTCGTGCGCGACAAGGTCCTGTAAATAGGCGAAGGTTCTAATTTGGTTGAAATTTGGAAAATTTATTAATTGAGAAACATTTTTTAAGTGTGGAATCGAGAGGCATTAATTCTTGGGAATTTTCTAAGTTATCAATGATGAGACGAACTTGATATTTGGTTAGTGCGACATATGTGCGCTTGCGTATAGGTATAGAAACTGTTGTACGATTTTTGTACCTTCAAAACTCCAAGTTTGTTTGATGTGGAAAAAAGGATCTTGTTAGAATCATGAACTGGTGTTGTGTCTCTTTCCATGTCTAATATAACATTGTGTTTTTACCAGCAGATGCAAAATAAACTGTTAGCTGCAATGATTTAATGCATAAAATTACAAATACTCTCTTGAGCCAATAACGTACAGACCCCAGTGGGATTACTAATTATTTACATACACCCCTTGAGTGATTTCTCCGTCTTACAATTACCCTTTACGGGTTAAAAGAAATTGAATCTTGATGATTCCATATAATATTCTTTTGAGTTTCCAATTATACCCTTGTATACTTGGGGGCTAAATGTAACATTTTTCATTTTTATTTGGGTAAAGTTCACCTTGCACCCTAAATTATGGAGTGTGTCGCAAACACACCCCTCAATTACAAAATGTACCAAATAACCCCTCATGTTTGTATTCGACTTTCCTGTTGTCGTTTTCTTTTTGACCTTTTTTATCTCTATTGTGTAAGGATTCAAAGCTTATATGTGTCTTATTTTTTACCTTTATTTTTCCTCATTTTTTCATTTGAAATTAGCTCATTTTTATTCAATTTTTTTGGGTTAAATACACTTTGCACTCCTGTACTGTGATCACCGTCGCATTTACCTCTTTAAACTATGAAATGCAACAAAATAGTCCTTACTTTTAAAAGTCAACTATTAGATTTCTCACGCCGTTAAAAATTAGGGTGCCATTACATTTTATCCTTACACTATGTATTACAATACATAGTAGGGATGGCAATTTAACCCGCCCCGGTGGATCCCCGCCCTGACCCGCCCTGAAATTTTCGGGTATTACACGCCCCGAAGAAAAATGGGACATATATGGGGATTTATTTTCTTTTAACCGGGTACGGGTACGGGGATGGGTTTGCCTATACCCGCCCCCGTACCCGCGTGCCCCACATTATTTATATATATAATGCATATTTATTAATTAGTATATTAAATATAAATAATAAATAGTAGTAATATATTAAATATTAGCTACAAATGGGAGTTTTTAGCTTTCCGTTATATAATTAAATATTAATATAATTAAATATTAGTTTGTTTATTGAAGTAATCCTTTAAATTATAAGTAGATTGCAGATTTATTTATTAAAGAAAAAGGGGAAAAAAAAAAGATGGAGATTTTTACCAACCGGGGGTACCCGTGGGTATTTTATTGGGCGGGTATGGGGATAGGGATAATATCGACCGACATGACTTAAAGCCCGACAAGGATGCACCAAAGGCAAAAAACAACGTCGAAACTTCATGGTATCTGCATCAATGTCAAGGTTGTAAACGCTATCGGGATTGTTGCGACCAAGTTCTTCAATGTAAGATGGTAAATATGAATACGGACTAGTATTATCGCCAAATACATGTCGCTTCCCTGCCGTGACAGACCTTCGAGCCACATAGTAGGTAATGTCAACTCCACAATTCAGCTTTATTTGCACAATGACATCATTAGCTACCATGTCTGGCTTAGCTCGTACAACATTAACTATCATACCAGCAATAATATCATATGTCATTCTATTCTAGTCTTTTTTTTTCTCTTATGTTTTTCTATTTTTAGTCGATAAATATATATATATATATATATATATATATATATATCTCGACTAATAATAGAAAAACGGAAGAGAAAAAAAAGACTAGAAGACTCGTCAAAAGGCGCACGAAAGCTACGATGATACAAACACGAATGACGCAAAAATAAAAATAAAGGATCGGTTAAACCTGTTTTGGATGTTACCTCTGATACCAAATGATACGAACCAATTATGAATAAAGCATTAACTAACAATTCTCGTAAATGGCTACCTAAGGTGATATATGTATGTCTACGACACCACATACAATTGACACACTCATCCGGTGAAAACTACTCGAAGGTTCTTATACTTACCGTCTAATTATCAAAATAGCTCTGTCGAGTCAATCCCAATAATCACAGATAAAGCACATAAATTGATCAGGTTCATGCACTAAGAATCATAACAAGTAGAAAAAATAATCATAAAATCATAATTGCATAATCTCAAGAAAACGGGTTCACCATCCCCACATAGGGTTCCAACAAAATCCTAGATTATAAACTTAGCTACGCATAACGAAAAACATAATAAAAGTAATAAAAGTCATAGATTAAGAAAAGATAGGTGAAAGAAGAATTATGATGAAGATTCGTCAGGTCTTCGTCTTCGTTTCTTCGTTCTCTCGCTCATCTTGCTCCAAGATTGTGTTCAAAAAGTCCTCTAATACGTGCTTGGTTTGAGCTTAAATAGATGTCCCAACTTGGTAGAAAAAATTAGGTTTCCTTGTGTGATTAAAAGTCCAAAATTGTCTTCAGCGTGTTTTGGCACGGCCGCGCGAGAATCAGTGCAATTCTCACACGGCCGCGCGAGAATCGCCGAAACCTTCTGCCCAACTTCTGCAGTTGGCGCGGCCGTGCCAAAAATAGCCTAAATTTGGCACGGTAATGTTCTTGTGGCCTTTGAGATAAACCATTTCATCAAACTTAGCTCTAATCGGAAAACAAATTATATGGCTATTAAACTTGATATCAGTAAGGCATACGATCGAATTGAATGGATTTTCCTACGCAAGATCCTCACTAAATTTGGAATCCCCGCTGATTTTGTTGAGCTGATTATGCTATGTGTTTCTTCTGTCTCTTATTCGTTTCTATTTAATAGCTCACAGATTGGATCATTGCACCCCTCGAGAGGTCTTCGGCAAGGTGACCCTCTCTCCCCTTACCTCTTCATCTGTTGTACGGAAGCTCTAATTGCAATGATCAGTAATGCGGTGGATAGAGGAGACTTGCAGGGAGTGAAGGTGGCTCCGTCAGCACCCGTGGTATCAAATTTATGTTTTGCAGACGACACTCTCATTTTCAACCATGCAACCGAGGGTTATGCACAAAATCTGAAGAATATCCTTAATCAATATGCTAGAGTGTCGGGCCAAGAGATTAATCTAGACAAATCCACGGTGATGTTCAGCCCCTCGACCCATCAATCTCGACGAGATGCCATTTATAACATCTTGGGTTTTAAAATTGTTGATCGGCACGAAAGATATTTGGGGATGCCTGCCTCAATGGGAAAAACTCGAAAGAAGGTTTTCTCTTATCTCCGAGAGCGTGTTAGGACGAGAATCAAAGGTTGGGGAGAGAAGTTTCTATCTAAAGCTGGCAAGGAAGTGCTTATCAAGGCGGTTCTTCAAGCTATCCCTTCTTATATTATGAGTTGCTTCTTACTTCCGTTGGGCTTGCTCAAGGAGATAGAATCGACTATTAAGAGATTTTGGTGGAGCAATGGCAACACTAAGAGTATGGCATGGAAATCTTGGAGAGAGATGTGCAAACCGAAGAACGCGGGTGGTATGGGCTTTAGGGATATGGAGTCTTTAAATATTGCTTTAGTGACTAAGCAAGCTTGGCGCCTCTTATCATGCCCTAATCTTCTCCTATCTCGACTTCTTCAAGCCAAATATTATCCGCACGGTCACCTCTTCTCGGCAGGAGTGAGTAACCGGCTATCGGCTACCTGGAGGAGTATTTGGAGTGTTCTACCTCATCTTAGAGCGGGTCTAAGAAGAAGGATTGGAAATGGGGAAGATACGGCTCTTTGGGCAGATCCGTGGCTAAAAGATGGTAAATTTCGTATTATTACAAAGCGACCACCTGATTCGGTTTTTCCGAACCGAGTTTCCGATATCATTAATCCCATCACTAGAACTTGGGACTTGAATCTTATTAGGGGGATCTTCTGGCCAGTCGATGTAGATCGAATCCGGTCTATCCCGGTTGGCTCTTCTTTCGCTAAGGATCGATGGACTTGGCATTTCTCCAAAAATGGCAAGTTTACGGTGCGATCGTGTTACTATCACGTTCTCTCAGAATGGTCCAGTTCACGAAACCATTTTTCGTATAGCGGGACAACGAATTTGAACTGGAAAATGTTGTGGCGTCTGCCGATTCCACCAAAAATCCGCATTTTCACTTCGCGGTTGTGCTCGAACATTTTACCAACCAAAGCGGAATTGTTTCGCCGGAAAATTACTCCCTCTCCGATATGTGATCATTGCCAAATGGAGGTGGAGGATCCCCTACATGTCATTTTTAAATGTAGGGGTATAGATATAGTTTGGAGGTCATCTCCTTTTGATAAACTCACGCCTACAGATTTCGCTTCTGTATGGAATTGGATGGAAAAGTTGCACCAGTCCTTGAGTGCGGACGAGTTTCACCTCGCGATTATTATAGCATGGAAAGCGTGGGATATTCGAAATAATAAGGAATTTAAGGGCGAAAAAGGGGTTGCGATGGACGAGGTTGTACAATGGTCTCGCGCATACCTTGATGCCTTCAAGCTTGCACAACTGCCATCAAACACACAGATGAGCCTTCCATTACCTAGTGTGTGGCGCACACCTCCCGTTGGGGTGGTGAAGATTAATTTTGACGCTGCCTTACCTAGGGGGAAAAACTGCTATTCTGTGGCCATTGTTGCGCGAAACACCGACGGGAAGAGTATAGGATGGCGGGTTGACACGATTGATGGTTCACTCTTGGCTGTGGAATGTGAAGCTATGGCGGCTCTAGCAGCTGTTAAGATGGCGAAGGATTTTGGATGGACTTCGATCATAGTGGAAGGGGATTGTCTCCAAGTTATTCAAGCGCTTCGGAATAAAGATTGTGACTCTTCATCATTTGGTGCGTTGATGGAGGACTGCCTCCAGATTGCCAACTCTTTAGAATCATGCTCATTTGTTTTTATTAAACGGTGTGGTAATAGGTTAGCTAATGCTTTGGCTAAGTTTTTGCATAATCATTGTATTTCTGGAATTGATCTTCCTCCAGAAGTTGTGACTATTGCCTAATGATAAGTTTCTTTCTTTCTCAAAAAAAAAAAACTAAAAAAAATAAAATTAACAAGGACTAAATAGAATCTTATCTTTCTATTTAATCAATTTTACTTTTCACTCTGAGCTATTACAAAATTAGATTTTTATTTTAGTTGATTCAATCAATTTTACTTTCACCCAGAGCTATCACTAAATTAGATTTTTATTTTAGTTGCGTTGAAAGAACCAAAAAAAAAAAAAAAAAAAAATTAATTAACATGGACTAAATCAAATCTTATTATTCTATTCAATCAACTTTACTTTTCACTTAGAGCTATTAATAATCATCTCAATTTAACTTTACTTGGATAAAATCAAACGTGAGAGTTTAAGTACTTAAAATATGGTAATGTCAATGAGAAAATACGAAATCAAAGCAAATTGCAATTTTAGTGGATCAATTACAAAATCAGTGGAATTTCCATACTATAAATCATGTTGACAAAATATGGCGGTTGACTTCTTTAATCTCTTTCACAACCTCCTCTTACCCTTTCAAACAATTATCCATATACAATTGAAGAGGATGACATGAACAAAAATACTCATGGAAACATGCATAACAAACTAATACATGAATACGCATTAAGAAATGGGGTTATTAGACAAACCCCCTCATTACACTCACTCAATTATAATGAGTCCAATTTTTTTTTTTTTTTAAGTTAAATCCAAAGTATTTTTAATTAATAAAATTTAATATAGTTTCACAATTATACCCTTCTTCCTATTTGACATAATTCCTCATTTAATATGAATTTATAAAAGTTTAATTATTTACCCAAACTCCAAAACCCTATTCTCTCAATCTATCGTTTATTTTATTTTCTCTTTTTTTCTACACACCGCCGCTGCTCCTCTCTTTTCTTTTCATTCGCCATTTTCATAGGAAGACTTCGTGGGTTATCGGATTTAGGAGTTCGATGCTTCTGATGGATCTAGGGCTTCAAATAGGCGGCTTCTCCATGTGCTTCTTGCTTCCATGGATGACGATATCTTTTCAAATTCGCGATAGACCGGGAACAACCGAGATCCACATCTTCGTCCGAAATCCGATATGACGTCTATTCCTCTCCCCTATCAATTGTTGATGTTTATTTTTGTATCTCATCTCATCTGTATGAGAGATGAACTCTTCTATCGGGTAAGAATTTGGTTAGAGAATACATACTTGTCCAACCCTGGTTCATGTTTCGACAAGTATGTGGAGGACTACTTTATATGTACAGGACCACCTCAATGTAAGAGTGGTTTTTGCACGCAGAGTGGTTTTCATTAATTCCATAGTCGTTTTCGTTAATGATAAGTTTTTTTGTGAATGTTTGTACTAAAATTTGTTAATTACATAGTGATTTTTGTTAATTTACAGAGTGGTTTTCATTAATTAGTGGTTTTTGTTGATTACATAGAGATTTTTGATACGATTATAATAGATTTTCGTAACGGAATACTATAATAACATAGTGGTTTTTGGTAAGTTTATAGTGAATTTCAATTTGTTAAAAACAATTTATTTATTTTTTAATTTAATTTGAAACACAGAAGTATAGAAAATAAAAAACCAAAATTAAAAAAATGAAAAATAAACTTTTTTAAAAACAAAATCAAAAATTTCTTATGAAGAAATCGAAAATAAGAAAATAAATAAAAATGAGATTTGTAAAATTGATTTGAGAGCATTATTTTGAGCATAAATCTCAAGCGAGATTTGTGGGTATAATTTTTGGAGAAGATTTGGGTGTAGATTATGTGTATTTTTTTTTTAATTTGAATAATTATACTAATTAATAATTAGTGGGGCATATATGGTTTTTCAGGTCCATTGAACTTATGTCAAATATCATTTACAAATAAAGGATTTATAAAAAAGTAAATTTTGAATGGAGGGTGTTTGGCATATAGCCCCTTAAGAAATATGTGCAAAATTATCGCACAAAAATACACACACAGAATACTTGTTTCTTAATAAAAATCACATTGATATTAAAATCGGTAATAACTATAATCATATCATATTGTACCGAAATTTTAGAAATATTCAAGAACAAAATATCCTTTGTATTAAAAAAAATTGGTAATAACTATTACAATATCATTTCATAATGTAGTCAATTTTGTTATACCAAAACTCTACTAATTATACCGATTCAAGGGGTTTGATATGATTGTCCTACCAAACCAACCCGTGTTTATTTCTATACATTTACATTTTGCATAACCTAATTGATCATATTAATAAATCTATTGACTATAGTAATCAACCTATCTAATTGTGTTTTTTTGGATAATTCAATCTATAGAATTGATCATGTTTAATAGAGTTAGTTAATTGGGTCGTTCTAAATTTTAAGCTGAGACACCTATGGATAGTAATCGGAATGGAACTTCAGAGTTATGTCAATTTCTATTTGAAAATATTTGGATTTGGAACCGTATATTTCATTCCGATTTCCAATTTTTCTGGATTTATTGGAAACGAAATTGGGATTGTATATAAAATTACCCGAAGTTCCGATTTCCAAAGCGATTTTAGTTCCGAATAGTTTGATTGGTTTTCAAAATATACAATGCAATTTTATGATATATTTGTAGTTCCATAATATAACTTATGTAATATTCTATATGAAAAATATAAATATCGAAGCATCAAGTAAATTAAAACCATGGAAAAGATTAATTGGTATCAGAAACTCTATGTTGCATTTTTTTCTTTATTAGAAAATCTTTGTATTTATTTGTAGTTCCTACATTTGGTTTTATTTATTGCGTTTGTCGAACTCTTTTTTTGGATTTTCTTGCATTTCAAAAGTTTGAAAAAAATAGAAATATATTGTGACATATTCCTATTATATCCAAATTTGGAACAAGCCATTACAAACTAATCTAATTTTGAAATTCCGCCGATTGCGAGCCATTCCAAATTTGAAATACTTTTTTGCATTACAATTTTATTGGAACGAAAATTGAAATCCATTTTTTAGTTTTCTAAATAGAAATGGAAAGTTTATGAAAAAAAAGTAGGGGCGGAAATTGAAACGAAATTTCCGAATTCCGCCAATTCCGATCCGAAAATATCCGAATTTGGAACCCACTTTTTCATTCCAATTTCCGATATTCTGATTTCCGATTATTTTTTGAACGAAATTGGAAGTACATATAAAATTATTGGAATTATTTCTGATAATGTATGATATATACTATATAAAAAATATAAATGTTATATGCTTATATGGTTTAGATTTCTGGTATATATATATATATATATATATATATATATATATATATATATATATATATATATATATATATATTGTATTTCTGAATTGTTTTTCTATTCATATAGTGCAAGAACTATGTTTGCTTAGATAAACTGAGTATGTTGTTTTTACAAGTGTTTACATTTCATCTTATTGACCTTTGTTTTGGATTTTTGCATTTTGCCGGAAAATTACGAAAATATTAGGAAAATCTTAAAATTACCATCATTTCCGATTTTGGAACAAAATATTTAGAACTAATGCAATTTTCGAAAATTCCGAAATTCCGCCGGTTCCGAGGTATTCCGAAATTGGAATGAATTTTGAAATTTTGATTTTTTTGGAACGGAAATTGGAAACTGTTTTTTATTTCCAAAAAAAATTGAAAAATTTCCGAATAAGGTATTTCCAATCAATTCCGTCCGATTTCCACCCCTAAAAAGAGTCGTTTACAATTCATTCGATCCAATTTCCATCCTCATAGAGACCTAATTCAAACTAGGATTGCCCTTAATTAATGGTCTCGGGTATTTGTGTAGGTGGGCTTGTATTAGTTTTTTAATTTGGACCAAAAAATGTATTAAGAGAGAGAAAACCGCGTTTGACCTTGTAAACGCCGTCGTCTCTTCCTAATTAGTCACCCACTCCATAGATCCACGCTTTTTTACTTTATTATTCTTCTGTCTACACCAAACAGTAACCGCTGTAATAATTTCTTATTGAATTCAACTTGCTAAAAACAAAATAAAAAATTCTTATATGAATTCAAGACTCGTTCGCACGTAATCGAAAATCCCCCAATATTAGTCCACTTCCATCATTTTTCTTGACAAGCCCACGTTCTGAAAATCCTTAATTCTTTTTTTTTTTTCTTTGTGTGTGTTTTCAATTTTTACCATTTATTGTTTTTCTACCAAGTATTTGTTTCTGCGGCTTGTGATCTGGTTGGTATTCGATGGGAGATTTAGTGAAGCAGATCTTAGCAACGCCGATTCAGTTAACGGACCAAGTGATTAAGGCGGCGGGAGAGGCGGCGACGTTCAAGCAAGAATGCTCGGAACTCAAGTCCAAGACGGAGAAGCTCGCCGGGCTGCTGAGGCAGGCGGCGCGTGCGAGCAACGACCTCTACGAGCGGCCCACGCGCCGCATCATCGAGGACACGGAGCAAGTCCTCGAGAAGGGGCTCGCCCTGGTCCTGAAATGCCGCGGCAACGGCATCGTGAAGCGCGTGTTCACAATCATCCCCGCCGCCGCCTTCCGGAAGATGTCGTCCCAGCTGGAGAACTCCATCGGAGACGTGTCGTGGCTCCTCCGCGTGTCCGCCACCGCCACCGACAGAGACGACGAGTACCTCGGCCTCCCACCAATCGCCGCCAACGAACCGATCCTCTGCCTCATATGGGAGCAGATCGCCATCCTGTACACGGGCTCCGTCGACAGCCGGGCCGACGCTGCCGCATCCCTCGTCTCTCTGGCGAAAGATAGCGTCCGTTACGGAAAGTTGATCATCGAGGAAGGCGGGGTCGGGCCATTGTTGAAATTAGTCAAGGAAGGTAAATTAGAAGGCCAGGAAAGCGCGCCCAAGGCTATCGGACTGCTGGGTAAGGACCCGGAAAGCGTCGAACATATGATCCAAGCCGGGGTTTGCTCGGTCTTTGCTAAAATCCTCAAAGAAGGCCCGATGAAGGTGCAGGGTGTCGTCGCTTGGGCAGTATCCGAACTTGCGGCTCATTACCCCAAATGCCAAGATCTCTTTCTCCAGCACAACACTATTCGCCTCCTCGTTAGCCATCTAGCCTTCGAAACCGTGGAGGAGCATAGCAAGTACACCGTCATTAGCAAGGCCACTTCAATGCACGCTGCTGTCGTATTGGCAAGTACCAAGGGGGGAAGCTACGAGTTGGATGAAGATACTAATCATAATAATAATACTATTAAAGCCACCGTACCTCATCCTCTGGGGGTGAATAATAGTAATAGTAATAGTAATAATCAGATGTTCAGTGTGGTTGCGAATACTATGTCCGCCAAGGGAGCTGGTGTGCAAAATCATGCTGTTAAGACCAACGCCAACAACCATGGTGCGAAGGTCACGAGTTCTGCGCATCATCATCAGCCGAATCTTTCTCTATCGGGAGTGAGTACTAAGGCGAGGGAAGTCGAAGACCCGGAAACAAAGACTTATATGAAGGCCATGGCCGCTAGAGCACTATGGCACCTAGCAAAGGGGAACTCTCCCATTTGCCGGAGCATCACAGAGTCGAGAGCGCTTTTGTGCTTTGCGGTCCTTTTGGAGAAAGGCCCACCGGAAGTCCAGTTCAATTCCGCGATGGCGTTGATGGAGATTACCGCGGTGGCGGAGGAGGATTCCGAACTGAGAAGATCGGCGTTCAAGCCCAATTCACCTGCCTGCAAAGCCGTGGTGGATCAACTCTTCAGAGTTATCGATAACCCGCATTCGGAACTGCTTGTTCCGTGTGTTAAGTCGATTGGGAATTTGGCGAGGACTTTCAAAGCCACGGAGACGAGGATGATTAGCCCTTTGGTGAAGCTGTTGGATGAGAATGTGGCGGAAGCTGATGTTTCTAGGGAAGCGTGCATTGCGCTTACTAAGTTTGCGTGCGTCGAGAACTACTTGCACATGGACCATTCTAAGGCAATTATCGACGCCGGTGGAGCAAAGCACCTTGTTCAGCTTGTTTACTTGGGGGGCCAAATTGTGCAGAGCTGTGCGTTGATTCTGTTGTCGTATATCGCTATGAATGTACCCGACAGAGAAGAACTTGCAAAAGCTGAGGTACTTGCTGTTCTTGAATGGGCATCGAAGCAATCCTTTTTGATCCAAATCGAAACTGTCGATAATTTGCTGCCCGAGGCTAAAGGGAAGCTGGAGCTCTATCAATCCAGAGGATCCAGGGCATACCATTAATTAACATATATTAAATATTACTGTTCTTGTGTGTGCAAGATTCAAGAATCGTGTGTTTTGTTGAGATTAAGGTTTGTCTCAATCTTCTTGTTTTCGTAATCTGTTTTCACTTTTTTCCATTCATATTGATTATTGATTATTGATTATTGATTATTGATTGTATATAATCATAGTTTGTGTATGTTTCTTTTGTAACGAATGAAGCTCAAGAATTTTTACGTTTACACATTTGATTGATATGGCGGAATATAACGAGACGGGGGGAGTATATTTTTTGTGAAGATTAAGGTTTATCAATCTTCTTGTTTTTGTAATCTGTTTTTCAACTTTTTTTATTTCATGAAAGTGTATGTGGTATTAGTTTGTGCCTCTAATTTTTTTGTAAGAAATGATTTTATGTTTGCAAACATTTGATTGATATGCGGGAAGTTAAATGTTACACTTGGTTATTTGTATCGGGTGGATTTGAACCGCAGATATACACATAATCACACACGCACGCATGTGTCTTTGTGCTTAGTGGGTAGTTATTTAATTAAATTTACGATTCAAATCCATCCAGTATAAATAACCAGTTGTAGCATCTAATTTCCCATTGATCTGCCCCAATAGCCAATGGGGCCAAACTATGTGTTCTGGTATGAGTTGTTTTATTTGTTTCAACATACAGTTTGGGGAATGCTGGTTCATTACATATTTACATGTAATAAGTTTATGCTGTTTACTTTTTGGGCATTTGTCAGTATTTGTGTTCAAAAATTCCATAAGTGAAAAATGATTTAGTAACGCATGCCGATTTATATGGGATTGTGCCATGAAAAACTCGAATAAGACGGAAAAAAAAAGGGAGATGTTAAATGTCGTTTCACTTTTTAACATGGTCGCCAAAATTGGAAGTAGATTAAAATTCCTTGCTTCACTGGTGAAATTATTTTCGAAGGACTTCCATTGAAACAACAATATTTGCCATTTACCTAGACAATGGAAGTCAACATAGGCGATAAACCACCAAAAATTAAATAGGATAAATAGCAGTCAACTTCACTGTGATTTGAGTTTTGTGCACGTAACCTCTTCGTATTTTTAATATAAACAAATAAATTAATAATCCCCTATTGTATTACCGCTGCTAAATGATTATATTAACAAATAAATATAAATTAACTAAAGGATTATGAGTTATTGATATTTTCTTAAAATATTTTTTCTAAAAAGCCTATGATAATTACTTTATTTATTTTCATTTATTTCCAGTAGGTAGTTGCACGTGCAAATCATTTGTCAAATTTAATTTGATGTTGCACTATTTGACTCAGTTGCCTTCTATTAAAGAAAATAAAAACAACTGGACAATTGTTGCAAATTGTGTTATTTTTAATATATTTGTGTTAAATACTGCGCTCACATAATGAGAAGTAGTTGCATATTAAAATAATATTTGTCAAACCAACTCTCATTGACTTGAACTAGCCCGCAGACTTTTTTATTTTTATTTTCTGTTTTATAGTAATTGCTATAAATAATTGTCCAAGAATATTGTTATTTCCACAATTTTCACGAGTAGTGCTTGCCTACTCTTTATTCTTTATTTTTTTTTTTCTCTTTTTTTTTTTTGCCATTTTCAAAGAATTGTTATTTGTTTCCAATCTCTTTTGGATGATTCGAACTCATAATCTAACAAATTGTAAATGCAAGATGCATATCAAGATGTTACCTTATCTTATCACGGCTCTTTATTTATTATTGAGATGTCTCTTAAAAAATAATAATAAGTAATAGCGATTTGCCTGATTTTTGAGACAATTGTACTGCATTAAGAAGATTTAATTAATTACTAGCATCAGTTTATAGTTGTAATTATGCTAAAAATAGATCACCTAGATTAGTTGCGATAGGATGAGCTGGAAGAGCAAGGGGGTCACTGGCTCACAAGCTAGATGATCCTGAGATACATGCAATCAGAATACACGTAAACTAAGTTGGAGGTTGATCCGGCGGAAACCCTTCTGACGCTCAAGTCCGACGTATGGATTGTAAATGTTGTCGAGAGAATATGAGCATTTGAATTGCTAGAATAATAGAACATACCTTAACAAATGAGTTAAAAACTTTATTTATACCTCGTTGATTGGACTGAAATTTAATTAGTTGAGTTTATCGGACCCAAACTTTATCTACAGGTGATTGGACCTTCGTTGTAATGGGCTTCAAACTTGAGCTCATGACCCAATAAATTAAAAAATTATGGGCCCATTAGGTTGGCCCAACTAGGCATATCAAGTTGTATTAAAAAGTATGGATAATTTAGTATACCCCTCATTTGGAAAATTAATAAAACTAACTACCCAAAGAGGAGATTACACTCTTTGATATTCCTTGATTTTTTCATTTTTTTTTTAATTTGACATTTCCGGTGGCCACTTGAGGTACCTAAATTATTTTTACAGAATCAGTTTTAAATCATTGTCAACCCAGGTCCAAATCTCTCTCTCTTCTACTTCCAAATTCGAATTTCGACCCAAATATGTTTTCGGCCGACGATCTTCTTGAAGTCATAACTTTTTCTCCGGCAGTCGGAACTCGATGGTTTAACTACAGGAGTCCTATCATTGAGCTCTTTCTTTTGATGGTGATGCCATGTAGTTTGAAGTTTTGTATCTGTTTCTGAAATCGTTTTATAATTCACGCAGATTTCAATGGAGGCGGGTCGTCTCAGAGTCATAACTATCTCTCTGGTGGTCGGAATTTGATTGTTTAACTACCATTAGATTCCTCTCGTCGGACGCTTTCTTTTTATGGAGATTTCGAATGTTTTGGAGCTCTAGAACTATTTCTATGATTTTTTTACAATGCGCGTCTATTTCGATGACGGAGATTCTTCTTGAAGAGGCAATTAATTTTATAACGGTCGAAATTTGACGGGGGTTACCATCGTTGGATTCCTCTTGTCGATATCTATCTTTTATTTTTAATTTTGTTCAATTTTGATAGTCAAATTTGTTTCTGAAAACTTTTTGAGTTGTCATTTTTTTACTAACTAGCTCTACAACTTTTTGAGTTGCCATTTTTTTACTAACGAGCTCTACAATTTAAATTGAATAACACAACATTCTATGCAACTTTTTGAGTTGTCTTCCCAAATAACACAACTAAATATTTTTGACATTAGTCTTCTTCTTCGAAGGTGCCAAAAATATGGTTGAAGCTGTAGTTAAATTTGGGAAATTTGAAATATGTCTCAAGTTATAGTCAACTACATACTACACATTACTAACATATGCATGTTTTTGTGATTTTCGATCTAATTTTTTTAGACCAGTTAATTTATAATATTAATTTTAAATTGTGAAATTTGTTGTTGATGTTGGTGATTTTTTTAATAAATAAGCTGTGATATTCGTGCGCGCACACAATTGGTCGACCATGACTTTAAGGCAAAACGAAAGAACAAAATTACAAATAACTGTAGTCATTTGTAGTCGTTTTAGTACAGTAAACATATCGGATTTTTTTTTTCAATACACTAATAAATTGAAAAAAATATATATATACAAAAAAAATTAACAAAGTATACAAACACTTTTTTAACAAAAAACAAATTGTGAAAATGTTAAATGCAGTTAAACGAAAATTACATGTAAGGGTAGTAGTATGTTTGTTATTTAGGGGTCTCAGAGGATTTTTCTTTTACTTGAGTTTTTCACTACTTTGGAAAGCTCCCCATGAGTATCTCAAATGAGCCTGTAATGACCAAAAAGGAAAGAGTAAAAAAGATATTAATATTACTGTGGCACAGTCAATACAGCCAACATAGATCAAAGAAAGCTGACTGACATTCATTAACGATGGCGGTGGTCAAAATCAGGATACAAATTAATGAGTCAAAATTGATAAATTGATAAAATTTAGGTTAACCAGGAATCAATCATGAATTGGAGGTGGTTAGCCAGTATGCATGCTATGTTTTTTTTTTTTTTATTATTAAAAATAAGTGTTGTAAGTATAGATTTATTTACAAACAAAAAAAACTGAATATCCATTTTCAAATTAAATGGATGTGTCTTTGTCATGCACTCATTTGCCATTTGCCCATGTAAACATTTGATGTAAAATCAACTTTAATCAACAAATTGAGTTGTTGTAGTGTCTTCAAACAAGCTTTAACTTTCGGCTAATCTTTATAAAGTATATTCAATGCCCTAATTGAGTACATAAAATAAAATAATTCATTATAAACAATATAAGAAACTCACTCTTTTTTTTTTTTTTAATTAAAACCGTAAATGTTATATAACATATACATAAAATAAAAATAGTTCCACCAAATTTCTATAAATCAATGACAATTGCTAGAAGAAATCACACAAGACAGTTCTAATCATTGCTGCAGCTAAACGAGCAATTCGAAGTGCAACGTGACAAGGTTTAAAAGAAATCCTCTATAAAAATTAAAAGAAAACGAGAGTAGTTTCACGGCAAAACAACAACTTTTAGTTACTTACAAAACTTTCACTAAACTATACTTCATATTTTCACCTAAAAACAGCTTATTTAAGGACGAGCAAAAGGGGCAAAATCATTTTGAAAAGCTTTTGCAAACACCAGGTAAATTCCACCAAACCTGGAAGCTTAAACACAATGAGCTTCGAGCATTGTAAATAAAAAAATAAAAAAAAATAAAAAAAAAAAAAGCAATTCAAGAACTCAAATTAACAACCATAAGAGTTCCGAACCTCATCATATTGGCCAATAGTATATAAATCGAGAAATCCAGTATTTAAAAAACAACGGTCTGCTGCAAGTTAAATCAGCCATTAAAAAGCTCAATTTCATAATTAATTATCAAACAAAATATGCCCTCAAAGGATGTTAGACGGGAGGAAAAATAGACGACACAAGGTCCTACTGCTACACTTCACAATCGATTTCTTTCCTCTTGAGGACAAAGTCATAATATGCTGCACTGTTGAGTTTGCAGACTAAACCATCAAAATGCACAACATATAAAATCCAGAGGCAGTTCAAACACATTACGCAATTCAAAGACAAGCCAGCACAGCCAGTCCGAGAAAACGAATCCAAAATAACATGAAGATATGCACATTTTTGTTGGTGTATATGCAGCATGATATAAACGCACATCAGAAGTTCAAAGAACCATCAAGCTTATGCAATAATCGTACTTTACAACACTTGCACTCCAGCAAAAATTCAAGGTTAAGTAACTCAATTCCCAATCTCAGACATAATTCATCACAGCAATATCAAATAAGATATGTTGAGGGGTAGGCCACCTAAAACTAATGCTATTAGGTTTATATTCCAAAACAATGGATAAACGAGAATTGACCAACACCATCGATTAACTGTGGCATAAGGGTTTTGACAACAGGTTTCGTATTCCAATCAAAATAACGGCACATAGAGAGAGCAGCCCTGCTCGGGTGAAAATTGTTACTTGCAGTACCACTTTTTAAGATTGAATTATACTGCATCAGATTTACTATTCCACAAAGGTAGTTCAAACATATACTCCATAGAATTCTCTCTTCGAGAAGCATAAACAAAACCAGAAAATATCACGAAGAATGAACAACGTACGGACATCCAAACCACACAGCAAATACACCAAAGCAACAACGACAATATGCATAGTAAATTCACAGAAAAAGGCATATAAATAAATTCGAAACGCACAATCACCATATTATAACTAGAGTGCCGATAACAGCAGAAAATATTAGGCTTCACACAGTCAAAAACCACAAAATAGTATAAGAGCTATCCCGTAGGTATAAACCCGCAAAGCACTATAAAAAGAAAACATAATAAAAGCATATTAACCGTTTGAAATAAGAAAACGACCAACGGAATCGGAAAGACAATTACTCAAAATAGCTACGGACGTCAACTCGTAAAATCAGTGAATAGCCGCTGCGTTGCACTCTCTGGCAAAGTGTCCCGACTCCCCACAGTTGTAACAGTTTCCTCCACCACCACCACCGGACCTCCCAAAACCACCGCTTCCACGCTGGTAACCACCAGCACCGCCAGCGCCGCCGCCACCACTTGTGCAGTCTCTCGCCATGTGCCCTGGCTCACCACAGGTAAAACAAGCGCCACCGCCACCACGGCCTACACCACGGCCACCAACACCGGCACCACTGCCACCACCACCAACGTTACCGGTACAGTCTCTCGCCATGTGCCCTGGCTCCCCACAAGTAAAACAAGCGCCGCCGCCACCACTGCGGCCTCCACCACGGCCACCACCAACACCGCCACCGCGGCCTCCACTCGGACACTCCCTCGCCATATGCCCAATCCCTCCGCAGTTATAGCAGTTTCCAGCACTACCGCCGCCGCCGCCGCCGCCGCCATTGCCGCAGTCCCTCGCCATATGCCCAAATTCACCACAATTAAAACATTCACCGGCGCCACCTCCACCGCCGCCACCACCTCTCCGATCACCGAAACCAAACCCATCACCGCGGCTGTTGGCGTTGTTCCCCCTCCGCGAATTCGCCTCCACCGGACCGCCGCCGGGAGCGGTGACGTCGGTAGCCTTGGTCTTATCGCCGTCGAGGATTATCGTGAACTCAACGACCTGGCCCTCGCGCAAGGTGCGATAGCCGTCGGTTTTGATGGCGGTTTGATGGACGAAGAGATCTTCGCCGCCTTCGTCCGGCTGGATGAAGCCATAACCCTTCTGATCATTGAATCTGGTCACAACACCCTTGGATCGAGAAACCTTTTCTTCCGCCATTGATTGATGAAGAATATTGCAACCAAACGAAACAAACCCTAAACCCAGCTATTTTTTTGTATACAAATATATGTTTAGATTTTGTTGATGTTTATGCGCTTATTTATATATGACGAACGGCTGTGGGAAAAGAAGCCCTAACAATATGTGTTTCGGCGCGTTTAGGGCTTTTGCCTTTTGGGATTCCTAATTCCTCACAATCTCTCTTGCCTTGTTTACCCAATTCTTTGTTTTCCAAAATTGCTCCTCAAGTCCTTCCTTTTTAATTTATATCTCAACATGCCGGTAATTATATGGGGTTACATACATTTTAACCCATCAACTAGATTATGTTACGCTTTACCCTGAAAAACTAAATAGGCTGAATGACAAAAAGGCCCATCACATGTGACTTAAATGTATTTTGGTCCACAACAAAAGTCTCTCAATTAAACTCATCCCCATATCTTTAGTCTAAAATATCCTCCATAATATAATTCTTATCAATTCCACCTAGGGGTGGAAATCGGAACGAAATTTTCGATTTCCGCCGAATCCGATCCGAATAATTCCGATTTTGGAACGATTTTTTCACTTCCGAATTCCGAAATTCTGATTTCCGAAATTTCCGAAAAAAATCGGATCGGAATCGAAAATACATATCAAAATTTTGGAATTTCCGAATTCCGATCCGAATATAATTCCGAAATTTTCCGATTTTTTCCGAAATTTCCCGATTTTTTCCGAAATTATTGCTATTTATTAATTATATTGTAGTTTTGTTTTCCATTTACTACTTCTTCAATTTCGAGAAAGCACATCTCATGTTTAAAAAGAATAGGTCTGCAGCCCATTTAGCAAACTACAACCCAAACCCAAATTCCATGTTTATAATTTTAAATGACTGAACATTAAATATCAAAACCCTAACTTTCTTTCTTTTCTTCTTCCGCCGCTACCAGCCACACACCCTATTCTCTGTCTAAGACAGTTAAATTACTGTTGGAGACAGTAATTTAACAGCCAAGGCAGTAATATTAATTAAAATAATTTAAAAAAAAAAAGTCAATTAACAATTAAATTACTGTCTCCGACAGTTAAATAACTGCTGGAGACAGTAATTTAGCAACGAATACAATAATATTAATTACAAATATTTTTTTAAAAAATAAAAAAGTCAATTAAGAGTTAAATTACTGTCTCCGACAGTTAAATAACTGTTGGAGACAGTAATTTAGCAACGAATACAGTATTATTAATTAAAATATTTTTGAAGAAAAAAAAAGTCAATTAACAGTTAATTACTGTCTCCAACAGTTAAATAACTGCCGGAGACAGTAATTTAGCAGCCAAGACAGTAATATTAATTAAAATATTTTTTTTAAGAAAAAACATAATTATATATAAAAAAAAAAGTCAACGCCGGAGACCCGGCGGCAGTGGGAAATTTTTTTTTTCAAAAAAAAAGAAAAAAAAAAAAGAAGTCAACGCCGGCGGCCGGCGGTCTCTGGTGGTGGCGGGTCAAAATTGAAATAATTGTTAAATTGGTTAATTGATGAAATTGGGCTAAATTGGGGTGTAAATCATGAAATTGGAGTTGAATTGGGTTTCAATGAATTGGGGGTAATTTTGGTATATATAAAGGGATTTTTCTTATTTGCAAATAAGTTTGAATGGGCTGGATTTATTTGAAAAACAAAAAAGTTGGATGTACCTCATTTAATTAAGTGCCCTTGTCATGGGCCTATTTGCCATTTGCCTAACTAAATGTAATATTTACTTTCTACATTCCTTTTAGGGCTACTTACGGTCACCCCTGCGTCAAGGTCAAATTACGAAAAAATTCCTACTGTTTGCGTAGTTACAACCACACCCGTCCACTTTTTATTTTCGTACACATTCACCCCTACGTTGTCAAATTACATAGGGGTGTTCATCCGGTTGGTAAACCGGCCGAACCGAACCGAACAAAAATTCGGTACATACTGATTACTGAACGGTAATTCGGTCGATATATATATATATATATATAT